TGGGAGTCTTCCGCGGTTGAGTGGATATGTGTTTGAGTCTAGCGAAAGCAAGACCTTTTCACCCCCAGTGAGATCAGTAAAGGAGGTCAATCGAGACTGGTTATTCTCTGGCATTGACCTTTTGTGTTTTCAAAAGAAGAGCTTATTTGGATGCAAATCAGCAGAGCCGTGAAAAATATGGGTGTTTTGTTGCGGAAATTGGAAATTCTTTTTTTTTTGGGAATAAATAACACAAATCCACCTCAGCATATATAAATCATCTGTCATCAATTGTTACTTTTTAATTTATGAAAACGCAAAACATATTAATGTCTGGTTGTCATAGTTACAGTATATATAGGGGGCGATGGGGTAGCCCAGTGGTTAAAGCGTCTGCTCATCACGCCGAAGACCCAGGTTCGATTTCCCACATGGGCACAATGTGTGAAGCCCATTTTCGTGTCCCCCGCCGTGATATTGCTAGAATATTGTATAGCTAAAAGCGGCGTAAAAACCCAACTCACTCGCTCACTACAGTTGATACACCTCGACACAGCTGCAAATGAAAGCCACATAAGATAAATCGGCTTAGTGCTTAACCTCTATATTGACTGCCGCGTTTATCCGAGTTTGCCGAGGTTGTGTGGTATTATTGGATTTTGTACTGCAATAAAACAATAGAAAATCATTCGTATTTATTGAATAACTGTACAGAGACGTAACTGGCTGACATACGGGGATTAGGGGAGCCGGGACACCTGCGGAGACTGCAAGCTTGGTATAAGCTTAATGGCATGTTCTCTAGCGCTTTTCATTGCAAAATAATCCAAATGTATAATACCTATAAACGATTGCTATTTAAGTAATCTTGTAATTTAGTTAGTCCTCGTGTGGTTAGTGTATGGGGGTACGATGGCATGGCGTTACTGCGCAAGCATTGGCACTGGTCACAAGGCAAGACCCGATCAGACATTTTAACCAACCGATACTCTTCACAGTCTTCACAGGTTTAATGCCCGGAGCGTCGAACGCCATAGTGTTAACGCCTAATTACGTCCTTACGTAATACCCGAAACATCGAATTTATAAAATTTCAATTTTGACAGTCCGGGTGGACAGCAAACAGACTTCACTTCCTAGACCATGTGTAAAATCATTTAAATAGCTATGATCCATGCAAAATCAATAATTGATTACTTGTAGATATTTTACCTACTTTACTGTAACCCATCAATATTGTAATCAGATTACCGGTGTGTGCTAAGGTCAACCCGAAGCTTTGATGACGAAACTGGCCGCCATATTTACTGACACTTTGAGTCTATCATCTTAAACTTATTAGAAAACATCTACATCGTAAGCATACTGTAATCGTAGCGCTACGATCGTGAAGGGAAACAGGACTGGTGTTAACGATGTAAAACGATGTAAACGCTGAGATGACCCCCTTACTTTCACCTGAATTTACCGCGCAGTAGCACGGCTGTAATCGTTTAGTGGGACAGGGAATGGGTCCCTATCCACAAAGCATTCGTAACGTTACGACATGTCGTAACTCTACAGTTTACCGTTGGTCTACGAATGTCGTTGCGCTACGAACGCTTTGTGGATCGGGTCCCAGATCCCTAACAACATGACCGCACTAACTCTTTGTTCATATTTAAATTCCAGGGTCCCCGTCCACATAGCATTCGTAACGTTACGACATGTCGTAACTCTACAGTTTACTGTTGGTTTACGAATGTCGTTGCGCTACGAACGCTTTGTGGATCGGGTCCCAGATCCCTAACAACATGACCGCACTAACTCTATGTTCATATTTAAATTCCAGGGTCCCGATCCACATAGCATTCGTAACGTTAAGACATGTCGTAACACTACAGTTTACCGTTGGTTTACGAATGTCGTAACGCTTGTGGATCGGGACCCTGGTCCTTTAAAGCCCCTAGGCCCCTTTAATCAGAGAGCTTAAAACGTCTCTGCCATATATATATACGAAGGTGTATATATATATATATATATATACGAAGGTGTAGCGCTGCGATCGTTTAGTGGAACAAGGCGCCGTCCTTTGAAACCCCTAGGGGTCCCTTTAAACAGAGAGTTAAAAACATCTCTACCAAATGAAGAGATGAAATGACCTGATGAAGGGACAAGAAGTAGCCCAGGAACGTCGTGTTGTAATATTAAAGAAGTTGTAAATCCATACCATACGTTGTTGTGCTCTCTACCAAAAACATAAAGAAAGTTCAAGCAATGCGATTGTTTGGTAGATCAGGGCCCCGTCCTTTAAATCTGTTTCTATTGTTGGAGACTGCTAATACAATACCAATAATAAGCTTCTAAGGATATTAGCGCAACTCAGCAACAACAAAACACGGTGCTGACGCACATTAGATCTGCGGTAAGCGTACAGGTTGACGCTTGGGTACAAGATTGTGGGGAGCTTTTTTTCGTCAGTCTGTGCAAGGAATTTACAATGTTCGCTGTTCTGACACACGTCGTTAACGGTAAACCCACGGTACACAACGTGAAGACGCTTCAACATGTGTATAATGGTGAGTTCCGAGACGCAAACTAGAGACGTCATGAAGCAAATACAGCAACGTCTCGTTACATTGTATATGTGTATACAACGGTGCGTACAACAGCTTACTGTTGTATTGTATACATTAGTTATTATGTAATGTAAATCAACTAAACAGTTTTATACAACAATGAAAATATTGACATCGAAACGTCTTTCCAGTGTGTAAAATTATTTGCTCAAATTGTCCTTAAAGGAACGATGACATAATCTTTGTTTGTTGCACTTAGCTCTATGACGGCGGGATGTGTTATTAAAAGCTCTATGACGGCGGAATGTGTTATTGAAAGGAATTATCGCATCTCGTGAAACAAGAGAAACTTTGATCCATTCATGGTAGAATTAGTACAAGTATGTATTCAGTTCATAAATGTCGGGAAAATCATCAATGGTTTTGTGAAAACATACATGATCTAGCGCCCACAGAAATATGATAGACAGTTGAAATGTCATATTAATAGTACCTTACAATATAATGCTACTATTAACTTCTATTCTTTTGGTGAAAATGGTTATTTTATTCTGTTCATATATACAATTTACGCTTTATGTAAGAGTGAGTGAGTGAGTTTAGTTTTCCGCCGCACTCAGCAATATTCCAGCCATATGGCGGCGGTCTGTAAATAATCGAGTCTGGACCAGACAATCCAGTGATCAACAGCATGAGTATCGATCTACGCAAGTGGGATACGATGACATGTGTCAACGAAGTCAGAGAACCTGACCACCCTATCCCACAAGCATGGACCATGGGTTACTGAGTATCAATTCTAACCCAGATCTTCACGGGGTTTTATGTAAGAATACGGCAGATTTGTCATTGTCACCTGACGCTCTGATGACATCACAGAACAGTGAGTGAGTGTGGTTTTACACCGTAATATTCAAACAACACTATGTCTGGGACTCAAGAAATTGGCTTCACACATTGTACCCACGTGGGTATCGAACCCGGGTATTCGTCACGACGAGCGAACGCTTTAACCACTAGGCTATCCCATCGGCCCACTTCAGGGAATAAACAAAATGGCAGCCCATTACTGCGATTCTGATAAAAATTAAATTGACAGGAAAAGATAGAAATAGATATAAATTTACCAGCAATATTTGTTTAGTTGTGTCGTTAATCTTTATCATGTGAAATAAATAAATCGCTCGGAAAGCATACAGGTCTATGCAATAATTCTCCGATAATAGACATTTGAACATGCAAGTGTATACCTGTGCACGTACTTTACATACCGTTGTAACGAACTCAGATGACAGCTCGCAAAGCTGATATAACATGCTTACGGTAATGAAAAGATACACTACCGTGCAAAGGAAAGTAACCCCTTGTTTGGTGATAGCTAAAACAAAACAAAACAAAACAAAACTAGAGATTCGATGGTAAATTAATACTAGTATCATAGTTTTGTTTTGGTCTTTATGTTTTCAGTGTTGAGACAACTGTTTAGCAAAAGTGACGTTTCTGGTTTTGTGCGTAAATCCAACTTGCAAGGGTAACTTTCTTTTGCTCGGTAGTTTACATCTATTAAATTCGTTATCGAACGCGCTCAATTAACACGAGAGAGGGATCCAGTCGTCATTTCGTGACACTGGTAGTAACGCGGGTTCCACGTAGAGGTCAGAGTAAGCCGAGTTACCTGATTAAGACCACGATACTACGACCTTTCTGTATGGGGTGCATGCCAATGTCATAGGATAATAGTGTTCCTGATACCATATAATTGCGAGTCATTCTCAAGATCTCAGCGCCCCCTGCCGAGAATTCACATAAATGAATAAGAGTTAGTTCTGCGTGATGTACTGATTACGCGTGTTCCCGCAAAACGTATTTATGTTGTTTGAGCAGTGGGTAGGGGTAGCCTAGAGGTAAAAGCGTTACGCTTCATAGTCACGTGAAGAGGGCCCTGAGACTTTCTTCGGTCTTTCGAAATCTAGACTTGACCTAGACACAGGGTCTGTATGAGAGACTAAGTCATGGGGAAATCAGTTCGGTCACGCCTTTTATTACATGGGTTGCTGAAGAATGAGTTGGTGTCCCGTTACGATGAATATTTGGGATATATTCTGCTCCGAGTTTCCACTGTGATTAACAGATACTAGTTGATAACAGTCATGGCTCATAATATGCTTCTCCTATTTGTCATTTCTTTCTTTTTCTGGGGCGGTGGGGTAGCCTAGTGGTTAAATCGTTGGCTTGTCACGCCGAAAACCCAATGTGTGGGTTCGATTCCAGACATTGTTAAAAGCGGGAACATACTCACTCACTGGGGCGTGGGAAGCCCAGTGGTAAAATCGTTCGCTCGTCACGCCGAAAACCCGGGTTGTCTCCCGCCGTGATATGTGTCTCCTGCCGTGATATTGCTGGAATATTGCTAAAAGCGGCGTAAAACTAAAGTCACTCACTCACTTTCCTTCTTTTCTTTAGAACAAGTTAAACCGGTGAAGTTCCGGCATCAGGATGACGTCATTGACAAAGACGTCGTGGACGAAAGGAGGAAGTTGGAAGGCGCCTACCAGTACCGCCACCTGTCGGACGATGACAGAGATCTGGTGGATAATCTCCTCTTTGGGACTCTCCCAATGGAGCAGATCCCACGGCCAAAATCTAAGGTCGTCAAAATATTCATCAGCTCCACGTTTACAGGTAAATATTATTGATTAAAGAACAGATACTACCGTGTCTGTAAACGTGTGTCACTGAAGTTGTAATGTTGAGACCGCTTCAGTGGTGTAGTCTGACTGACTGAGTTTGGTTTTACGCCGCTTTTAGCAATATTCCAGCAACATCAGGACGAGGGACACCAGAAATGGGCTTCACACATTGTACCCATGTGGGGATTCGAACCTGGGTCTTCGGCGTGACGAGCCAACGCTTTTACCGTTAGGTTCCCCAACCGCCCCTTCGGTGGTGTAGTAGATACAGCGTCTGTCCCGAGAAGGGAGGACAGAGTTTGATTCCCTGGCAGCGTCAGAGGGGAAATAGACATTGGTACTTGTAGTAGCCTTTCCTGGTGACATAGGTAGTACTGCTCGGCATGAAGGGGACAGAACAAGGACTGAAGGTTCTGAGACCCTATATGTGTCTGAGTGGGGTACTACAGCATGGCATCTCGGCGTTCCCGACCTATAAAACCGGCAGTGGAAGCATTCAAACACAAGCGCATGCACGTGTGCCAACCTTGCAGGATATTGTAAACCCCACGATGCTCCCATTATCACATTGAGTATGGTATTCGCTGAGATTTTAATAAATTCACATCACTTTCCTTGTTTTTATTAACATATAGTTAAATTAAAGATATATATTTCTCTTCGCGAATACCTGCAAATTGCTGATGCAGCGTTAAGCAATTTTACTCAACTGAACTCACATCACATCACCATCACCTCACCTCACCTCACCTCACCTCACCTCACCTCACCTCACCCACCAGTAAGGATGTAGCAATACTGTAGTAGTACCACGTTACACTGATGTCACAGCAGTGATGATGACCCCACCTCACCTCACCTAACTTCACCCACATGCTGTATCAGTAAGGATGTAGCAATACTGTAGTATTACCACGTTACACTGATGTCACAGCAGTGATGACGTGTCCTCGTGTTGCAGACATGACCCAGGAGCGGAACGCTTTGGCAGAAACAGTGTACCCCAAGCTCCGCCAGTACTGCAGACACAAGCATGGTTTGGACTTCCAGGTAACGTGGCGAGACGTGTGTATGGTGGGAGCACAGGTGCAGTGTGAAAGTGAGTGAGTGGGTGGGTGGGTTTTGGTGGATGAGTGAGCGAGTGAGTGAATGGGTGAGTGGGTGGGTAAGTGGGTTTTGGTGAGTGAGTGAGTGAGTGAGTGAGTGAGTGAGTGAGTGGGTGGGTGGGTGGGTGGGTGGGTGGGTGAGTGAGTGAGTGGTGGAGTGAGTGGGTGAGTGGGTGGGTGTGGTGAGTGGGTGGGTGAGTGGTGTGAGTGAGAGAGTGAGTGGGTGGGTGGGTGAGTGAGTGAGTGAGGAGTGAGCTGGTGGGTGGTGAGTGAGTGAGTGAGTGAGTGAGAGAGTGGGTGGGTGGGTGGGTGGGTGAGTGAGGGAGTGAGCTGGTGGGTGGGTGAGTGAGTGAGTGAGTGGGTGAGATTTAACGTCGCTTTACGCAATATTCCAGCAATATCACGACGGGGGAAACCAGTAACTATGGATTTCAACGTGAGTTAAAGAAGTGTGACATCGAACACCAAGTAAAATATCAGTTATATATCACAGACAACATCATAACTGGCAGTTTTGCTAAAACCTACATTTTGTCATCAAGTCTAAAAATTTAATATGGAGTGATTGAGTTGGGTTTACACCGCTGTTAACGATATTCCAGCAATATTACTGCGGGGGACACCGGGAATGGGCTTCACACATTATACCCATGTGGGGAATCGAACCCGGGTCTTCAGTGTGACGAACTTACGCTTTAACCATTAGGTAACCCCACCACCCCTATAAGTAACAGATGTAAAATCTGAGGTAACATGTGGAGTGAGGGAGGTAACAGATGTTTGATAACAGGCAATAGATGTGAATTAGTGAGTTTAGAGTTTATGTAATATTCCAGCTATATGGCGGCGGTCTGTAAATAATCGAGTCTGGACCAGACATTCCATTGATCAACAGCATGAGCATCGATCTACGCAAGTGGGTTACGATGACATGTGTCAACGAAGTCAGCGAGCCTGACCACCCGATCCCCTTAGTCGTCTCTTACGACAAGCATGGGTTGCTGAAGATCAATTCTAAGGCAATAGATGGGAGGGAACATATAGGGTTGGTTGGTTGTTGTTGTTTTACGCCGCACTCAGCAATATTCCAGCTATATGGCAGCGGTCTGTAAATAATCGAGTCTGGACCAGACAATCCAGTGATCAACAGCATGACATGTAGGGTTAGAGATAACATTGAATTGAAAGTCAAAGTTGAGGGGGTAACAGATGAAACACCGTACCTAGTGACAGCGAATTCGCAAATTTAATGTCGGAAGTAACAGATGTTGAATAGAATGAGGGATTGGATGGGGGATTGTTTTCACAGATGTTATAAGCTAGGTCACAGCTGAGGGTCTAGGAGTACTAACGTTATGTGGGAGGTAACACGTGGAGGTGACAGATATTTCTGATTGGTGGTAACAGACGTAGGCTGGGAGGCAACATATGTTTAATGGAAAGGAAAACATGTAGTTACGGTGGGGTAGTCTAGAGGTTAAAGCGATCGCTCGTCACGCGGAAGACCTCGGATCGATTCCCACATGGGTACAATGCGTGAAGCCCATTTCTGGTGTCCCCCTTCCGTAATATTGCTGTAATATTGCGTAAAACTAAACTCACTCACTGAGACTCAAGGCTAGAGTGACATTCCAACTAACATGGTATCATGTTCCCTTCCTCCAGGCTGTGGACATGAGATGGGGTGTTCCTCCTGAAGCCAGCGACGACCATACCGCCGCCTACCACTGCCTCGCTGAGCTAAGGCACTGTCAGGAGCTGTCGATTGGACCCAATTTTGTGGTAAACAATGACAATTACACAATGCCAAAAAACCTATATATCTTAAACCTACCATAAACATATTCAATCCGACATAATCAGGGGCGGATCCAGAGGGGTGTGCGAACTCCACATTCTCCCACGAAGAAAAACGGTAACCATTAAATTGCGACTTTATTAGTTATAACACAGATGCACATTTAAGTTTTAGGGTAGCGAAATGATCAACAAGAATGTACTTGAATCGTTCCTAGCCCTGGAACTCAAAACATGGCAGATGTTGATTGAGCAAATATTAATCTAAGCTTAGAAGTCGCGAGCAGTAGTTTAGTCAACTCTTGACCCTGTTAACATGAAACAAAAAAATGTACAATCTCACCATTATATGGAGATTGAATATACACTCACGTGCAAAAGAAACGTCCCCAAGTATTTTTCAACTACCAAACAACACAAGCACAAACACGAATAGATATGAACGTTTAATATGCATAACGAAGGTGTATGTCAAGCATGTCTGACATAAAGAAAGAGAACGTGGTAAACCTAACAGTGGTACAGGGAATGTTGTCTCATGGGGGTCGATTGTCCGGTATTCGAGCTCAAGCCAAAACAACAACTGACAAAACAGAGGTTGAAATGGGAAGGCAGATCGTCAATACCGCGCATGTCCACCCCTTACTTCGGTGCAAGTCAGAACACGTCGTCGGGCCGAGTGTGTAAGTCTCTTGATCACGTGACTGGGGATCCGACGCAATTCTGTCTGTAATGCCTGAGCCAGTGCATTTCTCGTCAATGGAGGGTGGAAGCTGTAGAATCCGACGTCCAAGATGGCACCACAAGTGCTCTGTCGGAGACATGTCAGGGGATTTTCTGGGCCAAGGCTGGACGGGCACATTGTTGACGTTTAGAAAGGCCGTTGTGACAAAAGCGGTGTGAGGTGTTCTATTGCCTGCTTGAAACAAGGTTCCTGGATATTGCTTGAGGAAAGGCAGGATATGGGGCCGCAGAACTTCATCAATATACCGACGGGCTGTCAGGCTGCCATTGATGATAACAAGGTCGGTCTTGGTGTTCCCACATGCCACCCAAACCGTCACACTCCCTCTACCATATGGTTCCGTTTCCTGAACGCAATAACGTGCCGTCCGTTCCCCACGCCGGTGGTAGACACGTCTTCGGTCGTCAGTTCTGTTCAAATGAAACCTACTCTCGACGCTGAAAAGGACCTGTTGCCGGTTCCGTTGCTGCCACTGACGCACATTCCTGACCAAAACCAATCTTCGACGTCGATATTACGGCGGTAACGTCATGCCCCTCAACAGTCTATACGCTCCGATTTTCATGCAGACGTTGTCGTCTGGACACTGTCCACCTGCTGACGGGATGACCGAGGCTAAGCACTGATGATGACGTCACGGCGAGGAATCTGTTGCTGAAATGAAGCGTCCGTATATAACTGTCCTCTTGTGGGGTAGTGACTTCCGGTTGACCGCTCCTCGGCCTGTCTGCTACCCGGCCAGCTTGTCTGTAACGTGTGACCAATGTCCCAATCGTTCTTTTGCACAACCCAGGATTCTTCCAACATGGTCGTGCGTTGCCCCCAGCTGCAGTATGCCAATCGGTCTTTCTCTCTTTTCTGCTGTTCATCGAGGCATGTTCTGCTGGTTTTTCGGATGATTGTGATTGCAAAGAACAGTTTCCAACGTGTGTTATGACCAATCTCCATAGTGGTGATTTCCTGTACGTGCAGGAAATTTCTCTGAATAAAGTAATTTTTCCCGCTTCTGGCATGCAACACGTGCATTTCCTTGGGGTGTCATACATTTGTGTGTTTGGGCAATGTGTTCCGAACTGTTTTTCATGTTTTTGGCCATATCCAGCAAATATAATATAATTTAAATTTTGGGGACGTTTCTTTTGCACTTGAGTGTACACCAGGTCATCAGGGGTGACATGATCGAAAACCGGACAATTACGCACATGTCAATGAATATATCGTATTTTAAAGGTCTCACAAGTACTAAAAGCTTTTGTCCATATCTCCGATGTATGTAGGAGGCATATACATGCGCTTTCCGTGGGGATGCATTTGATGGGTTTTATTAAATCGCCAAAGACCGAGTTGCTGTGCCGGAAGTGTACAAAACTAGGTCGTCAGCGCAATCAAATTGGTTAATAAAATGACAACAAATGCACGTGCACTAAATGAGAGGAAACTCAAACGTCTATCATCCAAGATGTCACTATCTGATGTTTTATCTTGGTAAGAATAATTTTAAAAACGAGTACAAACATTTTTAAAGAAACACATTCATTCAGTGTAATGTGTTAGCCAATCAGATCGCCGGAGATAGTGAAGTCAAGCGCTGACGAGCTAGTTTTGTATACTTCCGGCACAGCAACTCGGTCTTTGGCGATTTAATAAAACCCATCAAATGCATCCCCACGGAAAGCGCATGTATATGCCTCCTACATACATCGGAGATATGGACAAAAGCTTTTGATACTTGTGAGACCTTTAAAATACGATATATTCATTGACATGTGCGTAATTGTCCGGTTTTCGATCATGTCACCGTATTTCTGTGATGAACCTTTATGTATTATATAGTAGGGGGTGTTGATACTAAACCGGGGCCTAGTTTATCAATTTTCTGACCCGCAGTGGGGGCCTGTGATCAGGGAGTGGCATGATTAGATGTAAAGTCACGTATCTATGACAACAATGTATACTGTTTTCAAAGACGTTACAGGTAACTCGAAAAATACCTGTAACATTGTTGTCGACACCCCTCCATACGATAAATGCTAGTGCTGAAACGATGCATCGAACTATCGATGGATTGCAATTGTTAAGTCTCCGATAGCAATTAATCGATGGTAAAACTATAGATTCATTTGGGAAATGACTGAAATGAGACAATTCAAGGAGAAAAACTATTGCAGTAGTTGGTAGCAATAGAATATCACTATGGCAATAGCATGTTGCAATAGACTATTGCTATCGCAATAGTTGTTTCCCCCTCAATACTCACCCCTAATAAATGCCAACACCACCATCCCTCTTCCATCACCACAGACAACACCCAACATCCATATTAGTTAATAAATGTTGGCGACCTATCCTCTCTTTCACTGTTATTGTTTATGGCTCTGTCCAGACTCTATCACGTAGAGGCCGCTGTGTTGTATATGGAATAACTGAGTATTGCTGATTGCGGCCCAAAACAACAGACACTCGCCTTTTCAAACTCAGATTTCGTCTTTCAGGCTTTCATGGGTCAGCGGTACGGGAGTTGCCCCCTACCGGCTGCCATTATCAGAGCAGAGTTCGAAGCCATCCGGGAAAACCTTGATCCATCTAGTGATGACGTCAAGCTTCTAGACAAGTGCTATCTAAAGGACCAGAACTCGCTCCCAGCTGTATATAGATTGCAACCCGCTAGTAAAATAAAAGGTAACGATTGCAGAGATTGGTAAAAAAAGTCTGTAAAAAATTGAGTTAGTGGAAGGTAACTTCAAGACGTTGTCAGTTTCATCACTGTGGGCTTAACATTTGTAACACTCAGAAAACACTCCTTGAGGTTCAATGGTTTCTTGTAATTACATTAATATATTTGTTCTTTTCAAAGTTGAATAGACAACTAAAATATCGATACTGCATCAAATAGATGTAATTCTATGAACTATACCGCCACGGGTTACCGCTGATACACCAAGGGCCGAATTCAGCATATCCTGCCACATCAAAGGGAGGCAACGGCAAAACTCGGAATGAATATATACTCAGCGTGATCAAGTCATAGAATTACACAATGTATATAGGATAGAATGAATATATCTATACTAAATTGACGTACAAAAGAAACTACACACCCCGTTCTTTGAGATTCGACTACTACTAAACAATGTGTGTGAGTTGCAAGTCACAATCAAAGCATAACATATTTACGGCGGTTTTTGGAAACGAATCCCAAACAATAGGTTTGTACTGTCTTTTGTAGTGGTGGTGGTGGAATTGGGTTTAACGTCGTGCTTGAGAATATTTCGCTCATATGACGACGTGCATGCGTGTGTATGTGTATGTGCGGCTGCTTGTACTAGCCCAGACTTAAGCTGGTTTTATAGTGTTAGTCACTTGAATGCCCATTAAAAATACTGTACCAGTTTAACGCTGACGCGGCTTTGGTATTCTAGTATTACACCACGGAGGCGGTGCATCGAAGTTTTCATATTACAAATACTGTCATTGCTAGCTTTGGTATTTAGATTGGATCCTGGAGTTTCCTGACCTGATTTTCCTGGACCTATTACCTCCTCAATCCACTGTTGCCTCTTTTAGCTTTGCGGGGACGGTTGGGTGACCTAGTGGTTAAAGCATTTGCTCGTCACGCCGAAGACCCAGGTTTGATTCCTCACATGTGTACAATGTGTGAAGCCCATTTCTGGTGACTCCCGTCGTGATATTGCAGGAATATTGCTAAACACGGCGTAAAACTACACTCACTCACTCTATTGTCTGTGCGAAGATTTACAGAGCCTGGGCTTCACAAAGATGTAGAATGTATTCACTTACAAGTGGTCATATAACTGACATGGTCCTTCACATGCGTAAAACCTGACTCACTCAGTCCCTCACTCACTCACACATTACGGTATTGATAAATGTATTGATTAATGGTGAAGATACTGCTGAAGGAATTGATAAATGTATTGATAAAGACACAATAGTATTAATGAATGTTATTGATGAAGGTACAATGGATGGTATTGGAAACAGTATCGAGGAATGTATGTGAGGTGAGGTGAAATTGGGTTTTAGGTCGTGCTTGAGAATATTTCGCTCATATGACGACGTGCATGCGTGTGTATGTGTATGTGCGGCTGCTTGTACTAGCCCAGACTTAAGCTGGTTTTATAGTGCTGGCCCACTGAGATACCATGCCGCAGTGAAGCATGAATACCCCACTCAGACACATTATACTGACTCCGAGCCGACCAGTCCTTGTTGTGCCCATTAATGCCGAGCGCCAGGCAGGGACCAACAAGTACCATAGTTTAACGTCTTTTGGTATGACGCGGCCGGGGATCGAACGCGCTACCTTCCGCTCTCCGGGCGGACGCTCTAACCACTACACCACGGAGGCGGTGCACTTTCTTTTGTAAGTCAGTTCATATTACAAATACTGTCATTGCTAGCTTTGGTATTTAGTATTGGATCGAGGAGTTTCCTGGACCTGGGATTTTCCTGGACCTATTACCTCCTCAATCCACTGTTGCCTCTTTTAGCTTTGCGGGGACGGTTGGGTGACCTAGTGGTTAAAGCATTTGCTCGTCACGCCGAAGACCCAGGTTTGATTCCTCACTTGGGTACAATGTGTGAAGCCCATTTCTGGTGACTCCCGCCGTGATATTGCAGGAATATTGCTAAACACGGCGTAAAACTACACTCACTCACTCTACTATCTGTGCGAAGATTTACAGAGCCTGGGTTTCACAAAGATGTAGAATGTATTCACTTACAAGTGGTCATATAACTGGCATGGTCCTTCACATGCGTAAAACCGGACTCACTCTGTCCCTCACTCACTCACACGTCGCGGTATTGATAAATGTATTGATTAATGTATTGGTGAAGATACTGTTGAAGGAATTGATAAATGTATTGATAAAGACACAATAGTATTGATGAATGTTATTGATGAGGTATAGGTACAATGGATGGTATTGGAAACAGTATCGAGGAATGTATGTGAAGATATTGATACATGTAGTTCATTACGAATATTAACACTGGTATTGGTGAATGATATTGTTGATATCACTGGTGACTGTATTGATAAAGATGTTGATAAAGATGTTAAGATATTTGAGAAGATTTGAGTATTGACTGACCCCAGATCCATACTGACTCCAAGCCGACCAGTTGTTGTAACGTTAATGCCGAGCGCTGTCGGGACCAACTCTATAGTTTATCATCTTTTTTTGAATGTCGTAGCGCTACGAACGCTTTGTGGATCGGGACCCTGGTTTTATTAAAAGAAAGTATTGGTAACATTACTGGTGAAGGTATCGATAAAGATATTGATATTGATTGATAAATTGATAAAGGTATCATTATTGGTATTAACTGAGGTAAGGTATTGATTAAGAAGTAAACAGTGTTAATTATAACAGTGATAAAGTGTTCATTAAGCTATTGATAAGGGTATGGACGTTGTACGGATCAATTTAATGATAACGAAATGGATCCAGTTATTGATATATTTATTGCTTGAGATATTGCTTCAGGTATTGATACACCTATTTTGTGAAGGTATTGCCGCGACTCGTTCATTTTTAAAATAATGGCATTGCCCTGTCATTCTGTATCTTGTCTTTCAGAAACGACTGGACGGCTGTGGAGCAGTATAGAGGGGGACATACGGGAGGTGTTATATCGAGGAGCTCAGAAGGCCGTGGACGCCTCAGAACTCTCCAAAGAATCATTCAGGCTTCTCAAAGCTTCAGGTGTGTGTTGGATGTGTTTAAATCGCCATGACAATGTCCTGGTTCCTTATGAAGTAACATCACACCCTTTCCAAGTAGACCCGTGAAGATCCGGGTTAGAATTGATCTTCAGTAACCAATGCTTGTCGCAAGAGGCGACTAACGGGATCGGGTGGTCAGGCTCGCTGACGTAGTTGACACATGTCATCGTATCTCAACTGCGCAGATTGATGCTCATGCTGTTGATCACTGGATTGTGAGATCCAGACTAAAAAAATTACAGACCATATAGCTGGGATATTGCTGAGTGCGGCATTGAACAACAACCCTCCAAGTGAAATATGCGTTCTACATCAGGTGGTGTCGTGACGTGATCGGTCACATATAACACCTATCTAGAATATATTAGACATCATTCTCCAACTATAGAAACAGTTTGTTGTATTTTTCATAATTATCGGTCATGAAAACCTTCGTATCAACATTGATTGCGTATATTAATGAAATAATAATTCGAACATGAATCGAACATGTATAGTCTCAAGCTTATCTCACTGCTATGCTTGTCGTAAAAGGCGACTAACGGGATCGGGTGGTCAGGCTCGCTCGCTTGGTTGACACATGTCATCGGTTCCCAATTGCGCAGATCGATGCTCAAGCTGTTGATCACTGGATTGTCTGGTCCAGACTCGATTATTTACAGACCGCCGCCATATAGCTGGAATACTGCTGAGTGCGGCGTAAAACTAAACTCACCCACTCACTCACTCACTTATCTCGCTGACAAAGTTTTGAAAATAATTATCACGGGGTGTTTCGTTTTATATCCTTTGATAGCGCTTCTCTGTTGCCGGCGATGTATCAGAGTTCCACAGTGGCAAACGTTTAGAAAATGTATCACATTTCCTCAAAAAGATGGCGGGGACACGGGTGGCCCAAAACCTGTGATCGTGAGTTTGAATCCCGAAGTAGTAAACATCTGATATCTGCATATATTTAGATCTTCCTTCCACATAACATTGACACATAACTGACACAAAATGTATATCACTCACCCACCCACTCACCCACTCACGGTTGCGCTATATACCAGATAGATGAGTTTCTGAGAGGTATTGGTGATACGACAGAAAATGTGCGTCCACCGCGTACAAATGTATAGCGAGAACGCAGAAAAAGATATTGCAATAGTATTCATTGTACCAAATTCTTTACAAATCCAGATGTAATTTTACCTTATAGGGTACTACACATTTCATTCCTTTAAAGGAACCTCATTGGCTGCTTCCTTCTTTCAGTGACAGAGCAGGAGATCTACCAGGGTCTGATTAACATCGCCAGGGAGAAAGACCGCCAAGCCAACTGTCTGCTCTACTTACGCGATATAGAAGGACTTGGTACAGACAGCGATCCTATGATCGCCAGACGCTTCATGGACCTCCATCCGGACACCTTACATCCAAACGAGGCTGCAGCCATGGCTCTGAAGGAGCTGAGAGAAAAAAGTTCAAAGAAGGTGAACAACCAAAACATGTTGAAGATGTCTGTGACGTGGGAGAAAGATGGAATAGGACCTGTCACCCATAGGGACTACATACAGACGCTGTGTAATCACTTCTATTCCACGATGAAGCTCCTTGTGGATCGGAACATGACAAAGAGGAACAAACTCCAGGACGATGATCTCTATAATGAAGTGGTTCAGCATTGGACAATTGCTATAAACAGATGTCAAACCTTTGTCGGGAGAGCTCCTATGCTTCAGAACATTAGGGGGTACCTGGAAGCACAAACAGATCAAGCCCTTGTCGTCCATGGGGAATCTGGCAGCGGAAAGACTTCACTGATGTCCAAGGCTGTTTCTATGGTCAGTGGTGTGGTTTCTCGTAATGAGAACGAGATAAAGATGATGACCGTGGTCCGGTTTGTTGGGACCACGCCTGAAAGTTCCTCGAGTCACCAGCTGTTGTATTCTGTGTGCCACCAACTTGCGTACATCAGTAAACAACACAGATCCGACGTCCCCGAGGATTATACCAGCCTGAAGCTGTACTTCAGGGACGCTGTACAGAAAGGCAATTTCAGTGGAGTTGTGATTATATTCCTTGATGCTTTAGACCAACTATCTCCAGCAAACGGGGCGCACACCTTGGACTGGCTTCCATCAAGACTTGCCCCAAATGTGAAGATGATTGTGTCCACGTTGCCAGAGAAACATGGTATTTTGGAGAAATTGCGGAACAAAATTGACCATAACTTCTTAGAAGTGACACCTCTTCCTCAAACAGATTGCAAGCAGGTGATGAGGGCTCTACTGGAACATTCGGGAAGGGCGATTTCTTACCCTCAGTGGAGAATAGTTGAAAAAGCCTTCACCTATTGTACATTACCTCTATTTATCACACTGACCTTCCAAGAAGCCATTAGATGGAACTCCTATGATGTCCTCCCCGCTGACGCCCTCCTACACACTGTAGAGGCAAGCATCAACCGATTGTTCGACAGGCTGGAGAAGACATATGGAAAAGTGTTTGTTTCTAGAGCTCTAGGATACCTCACAGCTGCAAGGAATGGCCTCAGTGTGTCTGAACTTGATGATATCTTGTCCCTGGATGAGGATGTCCTGAACAGCGTCTTCACCCTCTGGGAACCGCCGATCAGGAGGATTCCTTCCAACCTGTGGCCACGTCTCTACCTGGACATTTCCTCTTTCCTTGTTGAACAGGAGGCTGATGACATTGTGGTTCTGTCCTGGTATCATACCCAATTTGTCCGGGCGGCGATGACAAGGTATTTGTCAAATGTTGATGAATGCACACTCATACATAAAAACATTGCTGAGTATTACCTTGGAACTTGGAGCGGTACAATGAAAAAACCCTTTATGTATCAGCAAAGATTGATGACACGACTGAAAAAGACAGACCCATTCAGCGCAGCCTGCAGACATGTTCCTGAGCAGCCTCTGATCTTCAAAATCAGTGAAACCTCTGAGAGATACAACCTGCGCAAAATGAACCAGTTGCCATACAGTCTTGCTCAGAGTGAGCAAATTGAACGTCTGAAGAAGGAATGCTTTTGTAACTTTGACTGGCTGTATGCCAAGCTTAAGGCAGTATCCCTGCAGCAGATTCTAGGTGACTTCTCAATGTTCCACGACAGAGAAACATGCTTTGTAGCTGATGCACTCCGTATGTCTGGATCCGCTCTCAAGATTGACCCAAACGCTCTCGGTCCAGAGATCTCGGGTCGCCTTCTACCTCACATCCACAATCATCCGATTATCAGAGATCTGGTGAGACAGTGCGATCTAAGATCTCAGCACCAATGTCCCTTGGTGCCACACTTCCAGATCTATAGCGTGCCAGGAGGTCCTCTGCAATACGAATGGGAGATAGACGGAACAATCCGGTCATCAGTAGATGTTGATGTCTTCAACAGTCCTGATGGTATTCTAATGACTGCTAAACCATACTACAGCAAGACCTTGAAGGTGTGGGAGTTAACACAAGGAGAACCACGACAAGACATGCAGATGCCCATTGGGGAGATACATCCAAGTAAAGATGGAAAATATCTCAACATCTTCTCCAGGAATCGCTTTGTGACAATTTACAAATCTGACTGCGGAGAGGTCCATGCAAATGTGGACTTTGGTTATGGTGAAGTTGCCTGTGTGAATATATCCAATCAATACATTGCCTTCACAACACGACATAATGCAAGCCCTTGTGTTATAGACATTGCCAAAGGAAAGGTTCTACATAGATTCTCGTGTAGAAGCAATGCAGTGGCCATCGGTCCAAAAGAAAGATACATAGTGTTCAATGCAGACAGGAACATTATGCTGTACTCTCTCCCATTAATGGAAAGGAAATGTGTAGGTCAGTCCAACGATGAACCAATGCAGATTGCTTTTATTGACACACAAATGAAGTGCTATATCCTCACTAAAACAAGACTCCTGCAAAGTATCCATTTTGACGTTGTGAACAAAGTCTCAAGCACTGCTGGTATAGTTGAGGATATGCAGATCAAGGAATTTAAGGTCTCACACCTTGAGCATATGATTCTTGTCCGGAGTTCCCGCTGTTTGTATCTTGTTGACACAGACACAGAGACAATCAAACATAGGCTGCAAAGGATGCCTCCTGGAGTGTTCGTGAAGACAATGACGTCTTTCACAGGAGCAGGTTTCACGCCAAAGGATGACCTTGTGGTGGCCTCAAGGGACACTTACATTGCGGTGTGGGAGACAGAGACGGGGACACCGCTCAGACTTCTTCAAGCCGCTGTGTCACCTATAGTGAAGATCTTCACTTCAGATACTTTGAACAAGGCAGTGTCCCTGCTCAGCGACAACACTCTTCAAGTGTGGGATCTTAACAATTTGGATGCCGATGTTCAACATTCTAATGAAGTCTTGACAACTACAGTGAGGTCTGTGGCAGTTTCATCCTCCACTAAGAGAGTTCTATGTCATGGGACTAGATACCCAGAGGCCAAAATACTTGATATTGAAACAGGAAAAATTAAAGGAGTTCTCCAACATACCTGTGATCTTGAAGACAAAATCTTAGAGTGCGAGTTATCTCCTTTGGGATTGTTTGCTGTAACAAAGGCTCATCTGGCTGAAAAAGGAGAACACAGCAAAGAGTTCAAGACCATTCTCACTGACGACATTGTGTGGAACATGAGCACTCAAGAAAAGGTCCACCACGCACCATCCAGCAGGTACATATTATTCAACTCCATCAATTCCATCATAGCAGCTGTCCAGTGCGTGTTCTACAGTTCCATTGACTGGACATGCAACACGTATCACGTGAAGGTGATTCAGCCAGACTTGATGGACGAGGAACCGCCTGAATTCTCAATCCCAATGATGTCCGAGTTTGTCTGCAAGCCAGTGCTATTGTCTGTGAGAAAGGGTCTGGGTGTATTCAATGCCTTCTATACAGTCTTGCAGTTCTGTGAAAAGGAAATAAATCCTGTGACGAAGGTAGAGCAGTCAAGGAGCTTCTATATGAAACTCTACATGCGGACTCTTTTGGGCAAACAAACGGAAGAGAAGATTCTATGTGTCAAAGACTTTCTGAAGCATGCTGACCCAAATGATCAGTTTGTGGACGTACGGATTATTGATGGGAACAAGCTCCTGATCATGTATTCGAAGGATCCTGTAACAGCTTCCTTTGATAAAGAGTCAGGACTTGTTCTCTCAGAAGCTTCGCACAAGGCTGCTATAGTGTATGACCCTGAAAAGGAAAGCGTCATTCGACACCTTCTCCACATCGCGAAACCAGACTGTATCCTCAGCCTAACAGTTATCTCACGTCTTAGTTCAATTTTAGTTGATGATCAGCTCAGAGTCTTTGACCATCATGAAAACAAACTGCAAACAGAGATAAACACAAAATTTGCTGCAAGATGTCACAGACTTGCCCTTGATGGCGCTTACATCATAGGAATATCTCATGATTTACGTTCAGTAATTGTGGTGCGATCTGTTGACGGCGAACAAAAGGGCCGTCTGTTTATCCATGGGAAGGCAACTTGTATCGAAGTCGCTGAAGATGATCGGACGGTTGTGGTAGGCTGTTATGATGGTCGGGTGATGATTCTTAGCCTCGTTCTGGAACTCAGTGATCCCGTGACTGAGCTAATTGATAAACTCCCAAGTAGGATTCCACCCATTGGCCATCGAGAGCCATTGGTCAATGGAGACATCAGACATATGCAGCAGTCGTTACCAGAAATGACTCGACTTGCTCTCAAGTTGAAAGAAGATCAAGAAAGGCATGCTAGACGACAAACGTCCTTCAGAGCTCTTGCCACAAGTGTCACCGCCATTAACAAAGTACGCATGAGGTCCACGGCGTGTTCTATACAATAAAGGTGTTCCCCAGTGGTAAGACATAGCATAGCATTGCGAAAACGTGTTGGCTTGTAAACACAATATACTTGATCCAACATCCCTGTGATTGTTCCACCTGGTCGTTCGTGCGATGCATCAGTGGATATCAGGACAATTGTGCCATACAACAGTGGACACTAGGGCCATCATGTCATGCATGACAAAATACCAGGACTATCGTGTGGGTCAGTGGACTCCATGACCACGAAGTAATGCATCATCGGAATCCAAGACAAGCATGTCTTGAATAAATGGGTGCACGGACAATCAGGTCATGAATAAGTGGACACCATGACTGTGAGGTCATTCAACAGTGGATGCAAGGATGCATTCATAAGTAAACACCATGACTTACAGGACACCAGGACAATCAGATAATTCATCAGTGGATAATATGGTCATCGGGCCATTCATAAGTAAACACCGTGACCATCATGTCAATCATCAGTGGATAATACGGTCGTCAGGTCATTCATCAGTGGATAATATGGCGATTAGGTCATTCATCAGTGGACACCATAACAATCAGGTCATTTATCAGTGGATAATACGGCGATCAGGTCATTCATCAGTGGATAATATGGCGATCAGGTCATTCATCAGTGGATAATACGGCGATCAGGTCATTCATCAGTGGATAATATGGCGATCAGGTCATTCATCAGTGGATAATACGGCGATCAGGTCATTCATCAGTGGACAATATGGCGATCAGGTCATTCATCAGTCGATAATATGGCGATCAGGTCATTCATCAGTAGATACCATAACAATCAGATCGTTCATCAGTGGATAATACGGTTGTCTGGTCATTGATCAGTGGATAATATGGCGATCACGTAATTCATCAGTGGATAATACGGCAATCAGGTAATTCATCAGTGGACACCATAACAATCAGGTCATTTATCAGTGGATAATACGTCGATCAGGTCATTCATCAGTGGATAATATGGCGATCAGGTCATTCATCAGTGGATAATACGGCGATCAGGTCATTCATCAGTGGATAATATGACGATCAGGTCATTCATCAGTGGATAATACGGCGATCAGGTCATTCATCAGTGGACAATATGGCGATCAGGTCATTCATCAGTCGATAATATGGCGATCAGGTCATTCATCAGTAGATACCATAACAATCAGATCGTTCATCAGTGGATAATACGGTTGTCTGGTCATTGATCAGTGGATAATATGGCGATCACGTAATTCATCAGTGGATAATACGGCGATCAGGTAATTCATCAGTGGACACCATAACAATCAGGTCATTCATCAGTGGATAATACGGTCGTCAGGTCATTGATCAGTGGATAATATGGCGATCACGTAATTCATCAGTGGATAATACGGCGATCAGGAAATTCATCAGTGGACACCATAACAATCAGGTCATTCATCAGTGGATAATACGGCGATCAGGTCATTCATCAGTGGATAATATGGCGATCACGTAATTCATCAGTGGATAATACGGCGATCAGGTCATTCATCAGTGGACACCATAACAATCAGGTCATTCATCAGTGGATAATACGGCGATCAGGTCATTCATCAGTGGACACCATAACAATCAGGTCATTCATCAGTGGATAATACGGTCGTCAGGTCATTGATCAGTGCACGCCATAACAACCAGATCGTTCATCGGTGGATAATTTGGCAATCAGATCGTTCATTAGTAGATAATTTGGCGATCTGGTCGTTCATCAGTGGATAATTTGGCGATCAGGTCATTCATCAGTGGACACCATAACAATCAGGTCATTCATCGGAGGATAATATGGCGATCTGGTCATTCATCTGTGGATAATATGGTCATCGGGTCACTTATCAGTGGACAATATAGTCATCGGGTCACTTATCAGTGGACAATATGTTCATCGGGTCATTCATCAGTGGATAATGCGGCGATCGGGTCATTCATCAGTGGATAATGCGGCGATCGGGTCATTCATCAGTGGATAATACGGCGATCGGGTCATTCATCAGTGGACACCATGTCCAGTGTATAACATGACTTTAGGGTCATTCATAAGTAATCACCATGACTATGAGGCAACTCATCGGTGGTCACCATGACTATCAGGTAATTCACCAGTGGATAATATGGTGATCAGGTGACTCAACAGTGGATACAAGGACCATCAGGTGACTCATCAGTGGATACAAGGACCATCAGGTGACTCATCAGTGGATACAAGGACCATCAGGTGACTCAACAGTGGATACAAGGACCATCAGGTGACTCAACAGTGGATACAAGGACCATCAGGTGACTCAACAGTGGTCACCATGACTATCAGGTGACTCATCATTGGATACAAGGACCATCAGGTCATTTATCAGTGGACACCATATCACCATCTGGTCATTCATCAGTATATAATATGACCATCAATGAATTCCAGATCCAGCAGGTCATACTTGCTCAAAGCTTACACCAAAACTTGAGGAACATCGACCTTTATGTTCCTTCAATAATCTCTTGGCAGAACGAATGGTGAAGTGCGAGCGATTTCTAGAGTCAGTCGCTCGCCAGTCATGTGGCAGAACCTCAACGTGCAGGCTACCCCTTGTCGAACAGAAGAGTTGAGACTGTTAGGACACAGATCTGTCACTACGAGAAGTGTCACCGTTACTGAATATCACAACCTTCTAGAAACTGACTTTTCCTTAGCCTACAAAAAAATAAAATGATTTCGGAAAATTCGAAAACAAAACTGGGCTCCGTCTAGTCGTAATGTTTATATTTGTTCCCTGAAATAAATGTGTTACGTATTAATGGTTAATCATGGATTGTACATATGGAAAGGATCATTCATTTAAATCTACAAAATGACTCGTCATTTCCGACTCTATTGACATTATCTAATACTGACATACCCAGTTCACTCGACAACGATGTGCTATCACAATAACATCCCAAACTTACTGTATTATTAGTGAACTCGGGCACCAGGCAATGGAAGTTTCAAACCAAGGCTCGAATGAGTGTCTTACTTGAAATCCTGGAGCTGCAATGAAGAAGCCTGTTATCAAAGCCGGCTGTGATACATACATATGTGATAGATTACCTATACAGTTTTAATGTACTTGTGTATGGAGCTTGTGCTGGGTTAAATGTTAAACAGATTTGTTTTGTGATTTCTACAAGGATCCGAACAATTTCACTTTTTAACAACTTATCAGTGCAGTATTAGTACCACAGAACACTCCATGGTCAGTACCGAATCAACAAAGGTCACTTCCGGTGTGAATATCCGGGTATGTGAGTTTGTGTGCCTTAATTGTTTTTTAAAATTGATTACATAAATAATACATATACTATATTTTTGTTGAATGGTATTACATTTTGCAAAAATCAGGTACCAATTTGCATTTGTTGTTTTTCATCTTACACAAATAAAGGCATTTTCTCACATTGTTTTCTGGCATTGTTGTGTTGACTGCTGGTGTTCCCTCTTGTGGAATGAAGGCAATAACGGGTACTAAAAGTTCCATGATCATCGGTAGGATGGCCTGCTGGTAGAACAGCCAGGTTATCAACAAGTGTGTGCAGTGAAATTTCAATTTCACACGTACAACTCGCACACTCAGTTCCCTTAATTTCTGTTGGAAATATATATACATGCTTCTTTGACAACTTTGCATGAACTTGTATGTCAGCTGACCCACAGGCAAATTGTAGCGCAAATATCGTTGCGCAACAAAGAGAAAATGACCAGTCTTCGCTCGCATTTGGGAAGACTGGTCATTTTCTCTTTGTTGCGCAACCGTGTTTGCGCTACAAGTTGCCTGTGGCTGACCATACAGTGGAATCTGTCAAATCCGGACTCTTTGTAAACCGGTTTCCTCCTTAATCCGGACTACTCTCTGAGTGTTGGCAAAATTGTTCTTAACTTATCATTAAAGCTTGCTTTATAATCCGGAATCTCTCAATTACGGTCCCCACAATCAACTTACTATGAGAACAATGCTTTTTGTAATCCGGGCGCAGTTGACCTGGTTGGCAGATAATATATACAAAAATAAAACATAAAAACAGCTGCATTTGTATCATTTTCTAGGTGAGACCGACTACTTTTTGACCGATACCTCGCTTTATATATATTTTAAACACATTGTTGGCATTGGCAATATATACTGACGTTCATAAGAAAGTACACACCTGGTGTTTTGGGACTATTTCCATTAAAACCATAAATATTTCGCTATCAATGTTGTAATTGGGTACAATATCTGGTGTTTTGGAAACACTTGCACAATGTTTGTGACAAGGCAGAATCAAAACACTTTTTAAAATATTAATGCTGTTTTAAAGAAAACATTTTACCAAAGAATCAGGTGACTGTGTACTTTCTTCTGAACACCAGTTAGGTATCCACGTTCACGGATACGGGAGACATTTTTTAGAATATCAACTTTAACGTTGTTTGCTTTTCTTAGGGGAAGGTGAGTGGGTGTTTTACGCTGCTTTTGGCGATATATACGAAATCATCCGACAACCAAGTCAGCGAGCCTGACCACCCGATCACGTTAGACACCTCTTACGACAAGCACAGTAACTGTTGCCTCTCACCACCAGCGTGGGTTGCTGAAGACCAGTTCTAACCCGGATGTTCACGGGTCAGGCTTTATCTACCAGAAGTTCCCCTTCCCTAAAGAGTGAGTGAGTATGGTTTTCCGCCGCTTTTAGCAATATTGCAGCAATATTCTGGCGGGGAACAGCAGAAATTGGCTTCACAAATTGTACCCATGTGGGGAATCGAACCCGGGCCTTCGGCGTAAGGAGCGAACGCTTTAACCACTGGGCTACCCCGCCGCCCCTGCCCTAAAGAATGTACTGTTACATAACTTTATAGAAATTTAGTAATATGAAATATGGTCTACTCCCATTTGTGAGAACTCCCAGTTGTGAGACTCCCAGTTATGAGACAGTGGAGTAGGTAATTAACAACGAAAACACACCA